GCCTTCTCACTCACCATGAAGACAGGAAGAAGAGGAGGAAGAGGAGGAGGAGAAGGAAGAAGAAGAAGGGGAAGAAGAAGGAAAAGCGGAAGGAAGGAAGGAAGGAAGGAAGGAAGGAAGGAAGGAAGGAAGGAAGGAAGGAAGGAAGAAAGAAGGAAGGAAAGAAAGAAAAAGCTGCTACATCACCCAAGGGCTAAAAGAAAAATCTGTCAATCCAGAGCTTGAAAGCCAGTGGGGCTGCCTTCAGGAATGAGATGAAATAAAGACACTGTCAGATTAGAAAAAAAAAAAAAAAAAGTAAAAATGTGTTCCTAACACATCGTTTTTTAACACACAGACAACAACAAATGCTGGAAGAAACAGCAGGCTAGATGGAGCGACACCATTTAGAAACCTTTGTCTTCAAAAGAAACCAAGCATACGAAATGGGAAGAAAAAAACCCTACTTTCCTCTTTCTTGCTTTTATTTCTTACTTGAAAGTGTACATGATGGTTTGAAGTAAAATGAGCACCTGTGCTCTGGAATTTGCACCTAGTCCATGTGGGCAGTGGTGACTCAAGACACACACAGGCTCAAAGGGGTTTCTCTCTCCACTGCAGACTTGGCGCCTCACCCCACACACAGCAGCAACCCTGCCAAGGCCTGCTCCGCCTCCACAGCCAGGCCTTTAAACACTTGGCCTATCATATAGTGCCTGGAACACTTCAACGCGTTTCTATAGAAATCAGTCCCCTGAGGCTTTGATTAGCAGCATTCAGACAGCCGGGCAGCCTCCAAGAAGGCGAGAATGTCGCTTTCAGAAAACCAACCTGAGGTGCAGCATGCAGCCCAAACCCCCTGGAGCTAAGCTCAGGAAGGGAGGTATACAACAAGCACAGACTCTAATTAACGTGCTTTTGTTTGACAAACAGACAGAAAACAGGTCAAAACTACCATATTGCTGCTAAGTAAAATGAATGCTAACATTCAATATAATGTGGATTAATTTGTCAAGTGTTAGTGACTCTATCAACGGGTATAGTAGAATGAAAATTTGATAGTTTCTATTAAATAAACGTAAAGAAGGAAAGACAGAAGAGTTTTAAAAATTAAGAAAATTGACCTGAAATAGTAGCAAATCTGAATTACAGGTAGTGTTGTCTATTTTCAAAACAGGATTTCTAATCTTAGTCCTACAGCAGAATCAGGCTCACAGCCACACGTCCCCGGGTCACTGCTGGTGGCCAAATGGAGGCAAAGAGAAGCCACATCTGGCATGCCACAGGTAGGCTCGGTGCTTTCACTGCAGTGTGGATCACTAGCCCTGCTGCCAACACGGCTCATAGTGCCTCAGAGCACACACACAGCTTAGAACTCTACCACCCCACTCACACATGTGGAAAACACATTAAAATGTTATCGAATCACACAACGGGAAAGTTATTTCCTTCTTAATTCTCTAACAAAATTAAAGAAAGTGCCCTTTTGGTGCTAATGTGCCTCAAACATTTCAGTAAGGCAAGTTAGTGCTCTCTTTTCTTTCCTTTGGAGACAGGGTCTCATGTAGCTGAGGCTGGCCTTGAACTCCTGACCCTCCTGAGTTCTGGATTTACAGGTGAGTGAGTGCCACCACTCCTGAAATGATAATGGTCCTTTTAATACAAAGCAAGAATTTGTCTGTCAAGAATTTCTTACAGGCAAGATGGGTGTAGCGCCATACCCCCCCCCCCAACACTGGAGAGACAGAGGCAAGCTGATCTCTGTGAGCTCAAGGCCAGCCTGTTCTACGTACTGTCCAAGATAGCCAGGGTTACAGAGTAAACCCTGTCTCAATTTCTTGCAGGCAACAATGTCTATCCAGGATTTAATTATTTTATTTCTATCATATTGTATACGTCTGTTAAATTTCAGTTATAGCAACCAATACAAGTGTCTCAAAATGGCTCCAAATGTATTTGATATGAAGAAAAATACCCATTATGCACTGATAAAATAAAAATAACAAAATGGCATACAAGTTACTGATTTCTGAATTGATGCAATCCAAAGAAAATAATTTTACTAATAATGTCACATTCATACCAAAAAGAATAGCACCTCTTACTTCAAGCACTGAAAATCCATTTTCTTTTATAAAAGCTTTTTGCCTTGTGTGAACCTGTTCCTGGGCCCTCTTGAGAATCGGAAGCCCCTCCTGGGGCTGAGTTAATGCCATCATTGTGCAGTTGGCACTGTTTCCTTGTGGTGCATCGCATTTTTTTAATAGGAAGCAAATGAAAGACTGTCCTTCCTCATGGTAACAAAGCCAGCGCTGGCTTCAGTGTGCCGGCCAGGTGCTGAGATGAATAACTTCACCCCTGACATTTTACTAAATCAATCAACAACTGATATGCACTCTGTAATAACAGAGCAGGCTGTTGTTCTCCACCAGGGCACTTGGAGGTCTGACCACTCACTGTGCTGTGAGCCCTACTGCATCAATAGCACCCTTTCCTCACACCCCACATGCCAGGAGCATCCCTTCCCTTTTGGGGTGGAGGGACAGCTTAACAAGAATCCCACCATACCTAAGGAGTCATACCTAAGGAGTAGAGGTCTCAGCAGGACTACCTGAGAGGCTTCTAGTCAGTGGGAAAGTCTTCGCCACCACTCATGCCTTCTGTCACCACCCAAGCAGAACATGTTCTCATCACTGTGGCTTGGCTCGGGTGCTTTCCTCTGCTCTTTCCTAGAGGTCTCCTCAGATAACTTTCTTAAAAACAACAATAAAAACAAACAAACATACAAAAACTGTCTTCAGTCCACTGTCCCATCTTTCTATTTTTCCACCAAACTCGCTTACCTTCAAAAGGAAAAAGCATGTTTGCTGTTCATCAGCTGTGTCCCCTCCCCCTCCCTTACCCCCAGAGTAAGAAGCTTTGATGAGCTCATTGATATGCCTGGCACACACAGACACTCAATAAAAGGTGCGGAATGAATAAGCAAATGGTAAAAACCTGCCTGCCTAGCTGGTTGCCTGTGTCCCCTGGCGATGGAAGCAGCACAGAAAGTGATGTTGGCTCTTAAAAGGATTTTCTAGGATTTACATTTCCGGCCACTGCTAAGATGGCACACTGTCTGGCAACTGTTGACAGGGACATGGGGTGAGGTCTACATGATGGTATCAAGGGCAGTCAACTATTCTGGGAGCCAACCAGCCCAGGCTGTACATAAACACCAAGAATCCTGGGTACTCAAGTCAGGCATGAAATATGAAGCAGCATATGAATAATTCCTTGTTCGATTGTTTTCATTGTATGTTTTGGATTTGGGGAATAAAGTTACCAGCTCCATTCATGAAAGCTTAATATAATACAGAAAAGCAAGCCTTCCTAGAGAAAGTAATTTCTAATAGTAACTGCTTATCAACAGGCCCAATTAAAACAGCAAATAAACCAATACTGACCATGTTTTAGTTCATCTGCCATCAAGGTTAGGATGAACTGTCAATGCCAGATTCACACAACACCAAACTAACTCTACAGCAAAGGATTAATAATTAGAATCATCAAAGAGCAGTTGGGGAAAGCTTAGAAGTGGTAGGGTGATCTGCAAGAATGCTTTTCGTCCCAGAATCCCATGTGCTTAGAACCCAGTCCACTACGTGGTGCTGGGTACATGTGCACAACACACACCAAGACACACACAACACACAATAAACACAAGCAGGCACCACACTGTCACACATACACACACACTCAAGCACACACGTGACACACATGCATACACATAGCCTGTTTTTAACTGTGCCCAAGGTCCCTGTGGCCAGCAGTTCTGGCTGTTACTTTCCTTATAAGAAAGAATTCCAAATTCAGCCCTCCACTGAAACACCTCACCTCTACCATCCAGGCAAGCCAACATGCTCCTGAGTTCACACAACCAAAAACAAAATCTTATCAGTGAGGCTGTACCCATTTCACAAAGAATAACAAGATTTATTTTCCTATGAACCTAAAGCCACACAATTACAAAAAAAAAAAAAAAAAAAAAAAACTATTTGATGATTAAAATTAAAAAAAAAAAAAACAAACAAAAAGCAAGAACCTACAACTCAGAAAAAGGAGATTATCCTTCACGATGCTAGTTACTCAATGTTTGTCTACAACACCCCAAAGAATACTGCCAGCATCTTTCCCATTCAACAGGTGGAGTATAGGGCAGATGGGACAGGAGGCTCCGGTAACCCTATATGTCCTGTCTCTGAGGGCTTGTGTGGAGGTCATTGCCTCTCATCAGCTTCTTCCAGCAGGCTATATAGGAACCAACACTAAGCCTGTTGTTGGAGAAATGTGCTTCATAGGACCAAAGGCCAGCAGATAGCATCTAACAGAAAGACAAGAAACTCATGAGATTATTTTACAGAAGAAAAGAAGCAATCAATATGAAAGCAGGTCTGTAAACAGCAAACGCACTGTGAAAACCCTTGCCATCCCCAGTCACCCAGATCTCAGCAAAGTCCTAAAGTCCACAGATGCTCCTGGGGACAAAGGCCACTGTCTAGATGCCACATTCAGTCCAGGAGAGGGTGGGCCATGGGAAATGACATACAAACAAAGAAGAGGTAAGGCCTGCTAGGACTGGGGCAGTCAGAGACAGCTTTCCTGCAGCAAAATGAGACCTAAGCCGAGTCCTCTAGCTCAAGTGAGAATTCGTCAGCTTTGGGAGGTAAAAATCAGAGGAAGAAAAAAGAACATTCCAGATACAGCATGAGGCACAGCAGAGGCAGGACAGTCTGTCTTCATCTCTGATCCAGGGACACAGACAGCCACCAGATCCTGACTGAGTAGCCACAGTATAATTGGTTTTAAGTGGAAAGGTGAGGAAAAATAAACACAATAAAACATAGCCAATGAGGTACCTTTATTGGTCCAGACATGAGCAGAGCTGAAGCTGCAGGCAGAATGTTCCAGCACGTCCATCCCAGCAAGCATTTTCATTAAGAATCCGTTCTCCGGGCAGTCCCGATATTTACGACTCTCCATTCAACATGTCATCCTGTCACTATAACTCTGTGTGAGATATGACACCCAGGGCCAGACCAATTATCCACACGATCCAATATTCTGTCTCTGACATAGCACTAGGGGACACTGGATGGAGAACATGATGGACGTGGTCCACTATGTCTAGTCTGGCTCAAAATATTAGAAGATTAGTTGACAGAGGCCAAGGTGGTTAACCTTATTCAAAGGAGATCTTAGGGAAATAACCATTAAATATAAGAGGATCTCACTAGTCTTTCTCTGAACGATAAGTTTTTAAGAGTCCTGTATGTTTGGGGGGAGACTTCAATAGCCATTCTCCATCCTACTATTCAGAGAGGCCCTGTCTTTCCACCTAACAAGTTCCAAGGATGACTACAAGCCCCTAAATGATGACTGCTTCTCCTAGCTAGACAAGACCCACCAAATCTCAAAGAACCCTTCTGATTGGTCACTGGCTTGTTTGAGGAACTGGCCCTCTACAGCAGGTCCCTGCTGACCTAACTGAACCTCAAAGGCAAGTTGTGCCAACAAAATTTGTCTGTATCAGTGTCATCTTCTATCAAGACCCTCAGGTTTATGAGCTCTCAGAGAGCAGAGCGTCCAACACAATGCTTTACAGGGCAAACCTTTGAGGGCCACTGATGTTCATGTCTAGCACCATGCTCTGGGCTAGCTGGAAAGTCCAGCTTAACTCAGGAGCAGCCACCCTTTCTACACTGTGCATACATGGAGATTCTTCTTTGATTTGTGGCTTTAATCACAGCTTCCAAAACCTTTCATGATTTATGTCTGCGACATTTACACTGATGGTCAATGGGAAACGTTTACTCAGGTTACCTGACTGGTGAGACCACTGCATCTAAGTGAGGCTTAAGCCTCACTCGGGTGTGACACATCTCAGCTGTCTGCAGAGCCACTGCCTGGGGGCATATCTGGAGGAGGGGACTGGTCACTGACATGGCATTGATAGATAGAGCACAAGGGGTGCATTGCATCTTATTTAAAGATGCAATGAATTCGCTAGTCAGACTAGAGACACATTCAAAAAGATGGAAAGGACCTAGAAGGAAGCTACCAGCCTCTGGGGTGGGGAGGTTTCTATCTTCCTCCTATTAAAAGTATTCCAAAACTGCTTGGTAAGGCAGTTCAACCCAACAGATTTGCTTCCCTTTGGCCAATATGCCATTGGGTCACACTTCTCCCAGACAGGAACAAACTCTTCTATGGACAGGCTCATGAAGCTTGTGGTGCTTTGAATGAGGATGACCCTCTTAGGCTCATATATTTGGATACTGAGTCCCTGTTTGGTAGGACTGTTTGGGAAGGATTAGAAGGTGTGGCCTTGCTGGAAAAGGTGTGTCAGTGGGGATGGGCTTGGAGGTTTCAAAAGCCAAAGCCATTCCCAGTTAGCTCTCTCTGTCTCAAGCTGATGGATAAAGAATGTGAGCTCTCTGTTACTGCTCAAGCACTATGCCTGCCTGAGGCCATGCTCTCCTCTATGATGGTCCTGGGCTCTAAGTCTCTGAAACAGCAAGCCTTTGATAAGTTGTTTAGTCTGCAAGTTGCCTTGGTTATGATGTCTTCTCACAGCAATAGAAGATTAACTAAGACAAAGCCCAATCCTAGCCCAGCTTCCACCCCTGCTTTCCTCCATATTCCCCTCCCAACTCTTGACACTCAGACCACAACCTAGGCACTCCTCTCTAGCCTGGATGTTTTGTTTGAGACAGGGTCACATGTGTACCTCTTGCCAGCCTGGAATTTACTATGTAAGCCAAGCTGGCCTTGAACTCACAGCAACTTGTCAGCCTCTAACTCCTGGGTGCTGGGTTTAAAAGGCATGTGTCACCATGCAGAATCACATTCTGAGAGCCTGGCTTCTTTTACACTCAAGACACTCAGCCACGTTGGTGGGGAGGGCTCTCTATTACTTAGAAGGCCAAAGTTTTGCACTGTGACTACACCCCAGTCTGCAGCTATTCACCCTTGGTGGATATCTGAGCAGGCTCATGTCTAACTGTGCCACGGAGCTGCTGTGAAGACACCCCCATGAGAAGTGCTCTCCACCTGGGCACAAGAGTGGAATGTCAGGTCATTCAAATATTTGCGGGGAGGTTGCTTATGGTTTTGTCTTTTCCTAAAATTTGTGTTTCAGAGTAAACACAAAGGGTAGCAATGTGTTCTGGAATCTTCCATTTACAAAGGGAAGCCCTTTTCACCCAGCTTCTCCTTGAATTGGTGTGCTTTCTCCTAGGCTATGACACTTGAAAGCAGTAACCAGTTCCCAACATGCCCAACGCCCAGCCACTGCCTGGTTGGTGGCCTGAGCAGCTGGCCTCAACTCCTTGCTTAACTTCCCATGCCTTCCTAACTCACTCCCATTTGCTTCTGAGCTGTGCTGACCACTCAATCTCTGAGTCTCTCAACTGCCAACCACCCTGAACTGTTTCTAGTTCCCATCTTAGCTAACCCTCTGAAGTAAGTGTGTCTACTTATTTACTCCAGTGCCCAAAGCGTTCTTCCCTAAGTGCTGCCTGGTGCCATCTGCTGTTCTAGACCATGGCAACCCAAGGTCAACTCAACTCATTCTGATGAGCAAGAGAGCCACCTGGCCATTCCCATGTCAAATGTTGCCAAAGAGTGGCACAGAGTTTGGGAACAAGAAGAATGGGTATCTAGCCCTTTATGTGTAGAGATCAAACAAGCTTCCCACAAGACCCATCTCTGAGGTCACTGAGGTCCCTGACCAGTGGAAATCGCCATCAGCCTCATCCCCTTGTGTCACACCTAAGTCCTTTATTGGGAGGGCGAGAGCACATGGTACCCATCTCTTCTCTGGTTTGCAACTTTACTCACATCACCTTTCCTGAAAGTATAACTCAGCTCCAGCCACACCCCGCTTCAAGCTCTCCAGGGGCTCTTCATGACTTCCTAAGTTAAAAGCAAACACTTTACTTTCTAAGGGGCCTGAGGGGTCATATGGAGTATGACTGTACCCGATTCTCTGACCTCCATGTTTATCACACCCTGTGTGCCAGACTCAGGCATTCTGCTGGTCCTTGACTTTGAGGGGCCATCTGTGAACTATCTCTTGGGCTCTTCACACAAAAATCTCCACCCTTCACTCCAATTTCAACTCAAGAGCCCCTCACAAAGTTCCAGAAAGGTTTTCTCTGGCCACTTGACACAAACAGGCCCTCCAGCCCTCCAGGCACTGCACTGGCACTTTCTTTTCGGCTGCTTTTTACTTTGTTTTACTTGTTTCCCCTTTTTGAGAGCCTCACTCTAAAGTCTCAACCAGACTAGACCTTAGGATGCTCCTGCCTCAGCCTCACACATGCTAGGACTACATACACAAAGCACTACACCTGGCTGCGCTGGCACTCATGACTGTCTGCCCTCCAGCATCTACCACAACCTGGAACTACAACACTGGTGTATATTAACCTGCTGAACACTGGTCTCTGTCACTGGGCTCATTCACTTCTGGGACTACCATGCCTATCGTAGTAACTGAGATGCAATGGAGCTTTGGTAAAGGTCTGACGAATAGATGATGGTTAGCGGTGGAACAAACTCCACACACAGGCTCCCTGGTACCATTCACTAGATTACATGCATTATTTTGAACAACTTATTTCACCTTTCTTCACTCCTTGTCAGCCTTCCACAGCAACAGCAATGGGGAAAAAGTGCTTACCTCTTACAGTACAGGTGTACAGTTTTATTTAGCAAAGTTTCTGCCCTAGAGGAGTATACCTTATTTTTTTTTTTATTTACTGTGTGTTTATGAGGGCATGTATGGGTACCATGGTGCACACATGGAGGTCAGAGGACAACCTGTAGGAAATGTTCTGTCCTTCCGCCAGGTGGAAGTTCTGGGCACTACGCTGAGGTCAGTGGGCTTGGCAGCCAGCACCTTTATCCAAGCCATCTAACCAGCCCTGTAACTAATTAAACTGCTAGAAACACTCAGAACGGGGCTCCACATCATTAACCTTAAAGAAATGGTGGCTTGGGGCTGGAGAGAAGACCTATCAGTTGAGAGCACATGCTACTCCTTCAGAGGAGTGGAGCTCAATTCCCAGCATCTCTGCTGGGAAACTCACAGCTGTCTGTAACTCTAGCCAGAGGGAATCTGATGCCTCCATGGACATTCTACTTATATGCACATACCTATACACAAACACAGACATACAATTACAAATAAACAAATAAAAATAAACGGAGGTTTGGTACCACTGCTTGGGTAAGTGATTCTCCTTCCTCAGGCTCCCATGATACATATAAGTAAGCATTCAGAGCCTTCTCTTGCCCTCTCCTTAGACCAGAACATTACTGGTCAAAATGCAGATTTTTATCTGGCAGCCTCCTGCCCTACTTCCCAGTGTTACCTCACCTCTCCCCTCCAAACACCCATTTCCAAGCCTCCCACATCACCATTAGCTCTAATCCAAAAGAGGCCATCTGGGAATGCTACCTTTACACACTTTCCAGAATGCCTCCTGCCTTCCTCAGCCTGACTCAACAAGAATGTCACTTTCCCTACAGCAGGCTGAATCACTGTGTTCGTGATGCCCTCCCTCTTGGCTCACTCTCTTGCCTGGGCTGAGACACACTGAGTCTGCTACCCACTAGGGCGCATCTTGGGAACAAGGGTCTGTTCTGCTTCCCTCGCTAACACCTTCCACGGCCTAGCCTGGGCACACTGGTGACACGCCTGCTACAAAGAAGATGACTGTCCGGATGAGGATGGAGCTGCATACCACCTTTTCTATGTACCCCATCAGGGTTAAGACCAACAGGAATTTGGAAGGAAAAAAAAAAACACTTTTGTAAGCTATGCCTGGTGGTACAGTCCCATAGCCACAGCCTCCAAAGGCTGAGGCAGGAAGATCACAAGTTCAAGGCCTACAGAACTCATCTTGGAATTTCTACGACAACACACAGAGGCAAACTCAAAGTAAACAAGACAGTGGAGGTGTGACTCAGGTCAGAGCTCAGGCCTAGCATGCAGGGGGTCC